CCTTCCCAAAGCCCTTCAACTCAAGCTGCTCCTCGGCTCGACCCGTAGCCCCCCCCGACCCAAAACCGCCGTGGGTAACCCAAGCAGGTCTTCCAAAAGGAGATGTCGAAAGAAATGAGGTCCATGAACCCAAGCAAAACGTCTTCCAAAAGGAGATGTCTGAAGAAGTACCTTGAAAATAGGAGGTCTACCGAAGAGGTCCATAGACGCCCGCCGCCATGCACTTGATTTGCGGGTGCTTGATTCCAAGCACTTGATTTGCGGGTGCTCAGCGAAGTGAGGGAATGAATTCAGGGTCCGCTGAAAGGAAACCACCAGTTGGATGGTTCACAAGGAGCATTCCATTTCTCAATCCCTTCCGATTTCGCACCAGCAAGTGGAAGCTCAAGTAGATCCCACCGTGAGCTGGAAAAAAAAAAACGTACTAAAACTCTTATCCCAGGATGTTTTCATTGCAAATCCAAGCGGCGGTCTTCATAAGAGTGAGGTCCCCCAAAAACATGCCCCTTAAGTGTGTGAGGTCTCAGGTGTGTACACCGCTGCAAATTGTTGCTGGCTGCTGCTGCTGGCTGCTGCTGCTGCTGCTGGCTGCTGCTGGCTGCTGCTGCGGCTGCTGCTGCTGGCTGCTGCTGCTGCTGCTGCTGGCTGCTGCTGCTGCTGGCTGCTGGCTGCTGCTGGCTGCTGCTGCTGCTGCTGCTGGCTGCTGCGGCTGCTGCTGCTGGCTGCTGCTGCTGCTGGCTGCTGGCTGCTGCTGGCTGCTGCTGCTGCTGCTGCTGCTGGCTGCTGCGGCTGCTGCTGCTGGCTGCTGCTGCTGCTGGCTGCTGCTGCTGCTGGCTGCTGGCTGCTGCTGGCTGCTGCTGCTGGCTGCTGCGGCTGCTGCTGCTGGCTGCTGCTGCTGCTGCGGCTGCTGCTGCAACTCATTGCTGGGATCTGCAGAAACAAATAAAATGCAAACTACCGAAATGGGCCACTCCTGATCCAAGGCATCTACGACTTGCGCGCAACTTGCGCGCGACTTGCGCGAAAATTTAGCAATCTTCCGGATTCTTTCGACCATGCGGATGATGATGATGATGATGATGATGATGATGATGATGATGATGATGATGATGATGATGATGATGATGAATCATCACTGCGTCACTTGCGCTTCACTTGCGCTTTACTTGCGCGGCCCCATGTTTGACTTGCGCGGCCGCTCCTGCAACACACTCCTGCCATTCAAATTACAAGCGGCGGTGCAGCTAATTTGATAGGTCCAAAAGACCTGGGATCATGCCTGACATTGACACATACAACGTTTTTTTTTTTTCTCCGACTCGTATGAGTCTTTGACTTGGAGACGGACATGCGGACCCAGCCATCCATGTTGCACAGGTCGCGGCGTCTACGGAGTCCCACGGCTCGACCACTGGCGGCTTATGCGGCTTTAAGGGGCCTGCAGAATGCATCCTTAGGCTGTAGACATAAGTGTCCTTTTGAAAATACATGGCACTGGCACTGGTCAATGAATAGAACCAAAGGGAAAACCAGTGCCATCCAATTTCAAACAAACTAACCTAAAAAAAACACCTTGGATGGTTGCGAAATCCATTTCGCACCATGCTGAAACCAGGGGAAACTAGGGGAAACCAGAACATTTGTTTGGTATTTACAGGGGAATCGTCAGAAACCAGGATTTCTGAACGGTGGTGCGAAATGGATTTCTTCCATCCACAGTATGTAAGGAGACACACATGCCCTCCGCAACAAGAGAAGGCTTACCTGACCAGACTTTGCCCACGAGCATCCAATAAACACATCAGGCATGAAAACACCAAGCAAACACAGCAGGTCTGCCTGTTTTCACATATCAATGAGACATACGTTGCTTGCAAAAGTGTTTTACTGGTAACAAAGTAGGGCAGTATGTTGGAGTTGTTGGACAAGGGTTCTTAACTGTCCTTAGGTCGCGTCCAGCGCAAAGTGTAAACCTCGCCTTAGTCATTGTGCCCAGTGCCGCAAACTTTACCGGCGCTTCCATGGCAAAAAAACAAACATTGCATAGGACAGAGGAACAGGCGAGCGCTGCCCGGCGTCTCATCTCTTGCAAATCAAGGTTCCTGGCCTGCATGTGCTTGAGCCCTCTGGATCGTTTGTTATAAAACAAAAAAATAGTGGTGCTAGATTCCCTTTCAAACCATCAGGGGAAATAAATAAAAATAATGTAAAAAAACAAAAAAAACATTCTTAAGCAAATGGAAGATAAAGGGGGATGTTGCGCCCACAAGTCTTCGGAAACTCAAGAATGTTGGAGGATGTTGGGGGAACAGGCTTGAAGGTTCACGTGCAACCCACTCGGGGGAGATGCCTCCAACAATGATTGATTTGGGTTCCATGTTGAATTTCAGGAGACGAGAAACCCCTTACTTTCCTTGCAGCAAGGGACGATTTCCCTGGTCGTTGTTTCCCTTGGCCGGGCCGCGGCAGCCTCTTCCAGCATCTCCACCAGGGAGACGTAGGTCATCACCCCCGCAGAGAGGCCCAGACAGATGGCCAGTACCCGGTTGTCATGGTAGTTGATGCCTGCGTTCGTTCCCCCAAAAAACTCCGCGGCCCGTCTTTTTTTTTGAATGCTTTTTTGGAACCACCTGGCCCTTTTTGAAAGGAAGGCAGGGTTGTGGTCGCCCCTTTTTTGGGGGGAAAATGTCTTTGGCAAGCCCTTTCTGTTGTATCACAGAAGTGGTCATTTTCCCACAACCCTGAAGGAAGGGGTTGGTTAATAATGAACTCGAGGCACTATCGGCCCGGCTTTCCTGGATTAGTAGCCGAATGGTGGCCCGCTTGAATCCAATGAGTCACTACTCATAGTGTCTTCACCAAGGCGCAACCTGAACATTCCGTGGCTGATGCTTTAACTTGGCACAAGACCTGCACATAGCCGTATGTTGTTACAGAAAGGACCTTTGCTTTGCGCGCAGCATCGCACCATTCGAGCCTGACAGCTAGTCTAGCTAATAAGCACCACCCCTTTCAGAACTCTTTGCACCACACGAAAGGTCTCAAGTCTTCCTGGAGGCGTCCTGTTTGCAATCAATCCACCAAACAACACCCATGGCTGCCGGAGATTCGACACATCAACCCTCGCTTCACGCGCTAGCGCTCGACCGGGCGCCCCGGCAGAAGGCCAGAGATGCGCCCAGGGTCGTGGCCAAGCCCGCCCCAGCTGTGAGGAGCAGCGCGTACCACTCGCCCTCGCAAGCAAGGAAATACTGTGGATGGTTGCGAAGTCCGTTCGCACCAGTTTGAAACCAGGGGGAAAAAACAAACACAGAACGTTTGTTGGCATTTACAGGGGAATCATCATTCAAGCATTTCCTAGGTGGTGCAGGATTTTGTCCATCCACAGTACCTCCTTTTCTAGCGAGGAAACAGCATAGGGCGACATCACATCACTGGGCTGTCCTCAGATCCCCGCCTAAAAGTTTTAACTTCTAGCGAGTTTAATCTAAATCCCCACTAAACACAAAACACCTAAGGGAATGCTGGGATGGTTCCCAGCAACCCCGAACAAAGGTATTAGAAGAAGTGGAAGTCTTTGCCTGCTGCTCGTTCGCTGCAGATGCTGACACCGGGCTCCGCGGCATGCGGTTGGTGAGAAAGATGTCAAACAAAAAAACACTTCCTGACCCTAAGCCCGGTTGTTCAAGACTGCGACTGCCAAAGCCAATTCCGGGAACACCTAGATTTCCAAAACATGCCAAGACCAGTGGGCCTTTTGATCCACTCCGGGCTCTCGCGCAATTCCCGCCCCCCTCCCAACCCGGCCTGCAACTGAATCCTCGGCACCGGGGTTTGGACCCCGAAAACCGCACGTCCTTTGCTTCCAATTCCTCGCCCTTTCCGAGCCGGGTGGGTGCCCACTTGCGGCTTGGGGAACCAAAACCAAAACCACTTCCTTCTTAGGGCCCCCTGAAACAGCACGCGCCCATAACAACACGCGCAGGTCTCCGTCTGGGGGTGAGGCATGGTGAGGCCTTTTCTTGTTGGCGCCAGCTCATGCGTTTTTCCCGGCTTTGACAATAAGTGGTCTGGGATGTTCCACGATTTCCGGCTCAATGCAACAACAAGACGGCTAGACTGCTCGTGAAAGAAGGACCGAAGCTCTTTTGTCTTCGCAGTGCGGATCCGGATCCCGTTGCGTCACAGGCCGTACGGGGCACTTGGGCTCCTTGGCCCTCAAGAGGATTTCATTTTGGTTTGTTTTTGAACCAAATGCAAAGGCGCCTTTGGTGGTTGATGTGGAATACCCCGGAGCGGAGACCCGTCCATCTTTCAAGGCCCGCTTGCTCTTGCTCCATCTCCCGGCCAAGTTCGCTTTGGCCAAAGGTGCACCCTAGGAACCCTTGAAGATGCGCTCATTTAAGCCGAGAAGAAACCACAAAGAAACAAACAACCGCACGTCAAGCCGCGCCAGTGCAGTCCAAGCAGCATGGCAGCTTCGCTGGCAGCTTGGACTGGGCTGCTCTCTTGCTCGGTGGCTTTTCGTGGCGCCGAGTGAAGTCTCGCCCGAAAACCGCTTGGCTGCGCTACAGCTCCGAAAATTCGGCCAGTCTGGACTGCGGAGATGGTACTCGATACCTGGTTAGGTCTAGAGATTAGAGTCTAGAAGGCTGGCTTCGGTGCTTGATTCTGAGCTGCTTGAGGCAAACAAGCTGAGGGGGAAAACAATAATCCAAGGACCACTTGTAGGCCACGCGGTCCTGTTCCCTTCTAAACCCGTGTGGCAACTACCCGAGTCGCAGAACTCCGTCGAGGGTGCTCCGAAGCCAAGGATCAAGGATCTCTTCCCGCTCACCTGTTATAGTGCAACCTGCAAGAAGGTCAAACGCAACACTCCTGCACCAAAGCAACGAAGAGTGAACGGCGCTGCCTGCGCTTTCGCAAAACGAGCAGCGGCGTACTCAGAAAGCTGTGCGAGCCTTGAGCCCTGCGGGTGTCGAACCGAACGAAGCTCGCGC